TACAATGAATGTCACTTTTTGCTTCCCGTTTTTCGATTTGTATGGAACTGTCATGTGTAAAAATACTATCAAAATGCTATAAAGGGAGCTTATTAATGTAAACAAAAAATACCCCATCTGGAAACCGAAGCCTCGGAGCAGTGCTTCACTCATAGTGCTGAGATGACCTCTCCTTCCTTTCTTACCTCCTTGCAAACAATGAAGATATAAAGAAGTGACTTAGCGTGAAAGATTTGGAATAACTTCAAAAGTAGTCTTAAAAATGATTAAAGATTATGTCTTCAGAGTTTTAGCATGGGAAGACAGAATGTTATTTTTTTTTTATCTACAAAATTTCTGTAAAGTGGTACCAAGCATAAAGTTTCAAAGAATGATATCATAGCAGTAGCAAACCTCAGCATAAATATTTTCAGTGGCAATATCATACCTCTTCTTGGAAATATTTTAAAATATAAACAAAAACAAATCTCAATGGGAAACATTTCAATAGCCAGAGGCCCAGTGAGTCTTGAAAGCAATCAAATGGTGTCAAGACACTCAGAACGAAAAAAAAAGTAATCCCAGAAAGGAAGTTACTTCAGCTTTTATGGCGGCAAAATTACTCTTCAAATAATAAGTAACATTGATTTTTCCCTTCACTAACACTGCCAACTTACTTTTGTACACGTATGATAAACTTAAGTTTTCATCTATTTTACCAGTTAAGTATATTATTTTTCCATCCTTTTTTTTTTCTTTTTATAAGTGTGTTGTGTATGTGCAAAATTTGATGATTTCAATTGTTTTGTGATATGAGCTTGAGCATAAAATATCATTATAAAATTTTAAATAAGTAATCATCTGGGATCAGGAACAAATCCATCCGTTTTACATTCACTTCTGGGGAAAAAGCAGTTTTGGTTTACCAACCTTTCACATGATGAATGGCTTTCACAAATGAATTACGTTTGTGATTCGAGATTTCACTGCATAAATATTTATGCATCAATAAGAAAGCAACAGATTTGTTTTCCAATGATAAAGTAAATGCACTCAATACAACTGATTTGTGGCAGGGCGTATTATGCATTAAAAATCATTACAACCCTTTAATATTTTTATGGCATTCATTCATATTCCTAACAAAGTCTTGAAAACGTTTCATTGAAATACAACTGCAATTCTTATCAAGAAACTACCATATTCATGACCTTCTGTACTTCTTGGGAGAAATTTTAGCCCACCCAAAAGCATTCTATATGCAATTTATTATTTTGTTTCACTGTATTCAGTTTGCGATATTATGCTGAACACAATGAAAAATAACCTATTCCTGGAGATCATGTTCTACTGTAACACTCAATTAATTGTTCCAATGCACCATTCACGTAGACATAACCAAGTTGTATGTGATCTTATTCAGAAATTCATAACAGAAAGCAGATGCAAAATTATAACAATAGCCCATTATGTACTGTATTTGATCTTATGTATGAGTGATTTATCTATATGTTCGTTGACATATCTGAATCCTGATAGCACTAAATTTGAGTGCTTATATCTCTGCAAATTTTAACTTTTTATTAAGTTTCGTGCTGATTTTATGATAGCAAATGATGACACAGTTATGCATCTACACCAGGGGTTCCCAACCTTTTTGTCCTTAAGAGCACATTCTAGAATATCTGTTGAATGGCAGACAGCATTTACCTTTTTCAAGGTGAATTTATAGTTAGATAGGGTCAATAATACATGCACATAAAAAATAAGAAATCGGCCACATTTCGCTTTGTGGTGGTATCTATGTTGGATGCAATTTCTATTTCATTAAAAATGAGAAAAATTTCACATAGAATTTTATTGAAAACTAAAACATTTTTATTGTGATCGCACAGTGGCGGGCACACGTTAAACGATTGGCAGATGCCATGGTGCCTGCGGGCATAGGGTTGGGAACTCCCGATCTAGACATTTTTGGCATTTGTGATCTATTTTAAAATTATTTTGTTGTCTATATATTACACAGTTTGTCTATTAGTTTTTCACATTGTCATAAATTAAAAAAATATATTTTTATGAAATGCCCAGCTGCGGTAAGATATCTTCTCCTCAAGGTGAGTTTAGGGTTGCCAGAAAATGGCAAGTGAAAACAGGGTTGCCATACTTGGCACAAAATTGCCCATTTAGCAACAAAATTGCCAATATGCCATAGACAGATGGAGAACTTTCTGGTATGAATTTTACCAGTTTGGACCAGAATGTTCTTTGAAGGCAGGCCAAAAGCAATACACCGTAATTTCCGGAAGAAACGTCGCGGCGTTTACGTGTTTAAAACTTACATTTTTAGCGGGTGCGTTGTTTCTTTTCATGCAGTGTATAGGTGCACTAAAAATAAAATATTTCCTATGATGGTCATTGTACATAGTTTGGATGGCCTTGTCATTGTACATAGACTGGTGCTGTTCCCCACACAAATGACCATTCAGTTGCTTTTTGCAAATGTTATATTGTTTACATTCTTTCCCTTAGATGGACCTACATTCCTTATTCACCCTAAGCAGGATCTCAGAACAATAACATTCTTCCCCCTTTCAAATCAACATTCTCATCAGTTTGAATAGTCTCTCTCCTCTGCCATTTGATGAATCTTCCAGGACCCATCCTCTCCCCACCCGCCTTTTCTGCAATTTTTTTCAAAAGCAGACACGACTCCACCTGCCTCGCAATAATGAACTCTGACATATTTCCCCTTCAGCATGAATCAATTTTTCTTGGCATTCTGCTAGATACAGATCCCTTCAGTTTGGGTACAAGTACTTGTTGGATAGATTTTAAGTAAGAAGGGAGCAGAATTTTTTTTAAAATGGCACCTAAACGGCACAGAAGCTATACTGCTGGTTTTAAGCTTAATGTAATTTCACGTGCTGAACAAATTGGAAATAGAGCAGCAGATCGAGAGTTTGAAGTGGGCGACAGATGTATTCGACGTTAAAGACCTGAAAAAGAACTTCTTAAAAATATGCCACAACAGAAACGAGCCATAAGAACATTTCTTACCTTTAATTTATTTTTGATTTATGGTTTCATTTTATGCATTTTTCTTAACTGATATGTCATATATCAGGACTTAGGTTGAGCTTTTGCATCTATACGGCCCATGACAATGTCACACGCAATTTAATCTATTGCAGCGTTTACGCTGATGCGGCCTTTCTGTGTAATTTTTTTCCCGCCATTTTCCACGAGTGCAGCATTTACGCTGATGCAGCCTTTCTTCCGGAAATTACAGTAAATCCTGCCAGTATGCAGAATAGCAGTCTAGTGTCGAGTGTGTTGCGAGTTGGTGCATCGAGAGTGTGCATCATTGAGGCTATCGAGTGTATCGTCGAGGGCACTGCGAGTTCTAGCATGAAGAGTCTCGAGAGCACGTTGAGTTCTGAGAACGACCTAACCAAGTCAGGAGCTGTACTCTAGTGCTTTGCTGTGAAGCTGTCTTCACTGTTATCGCCTGAAGGCTGTGTTGCTGATTGTTTCAGTATGCTTGTTGTAGTTTTCTAATGGCTGTAAATGTGTTTCTGAAGCTGTTCTGGGTAATACTGGCTACTAAAATATGTTTTCATTCTTCATCAAGTGTTGTCGTTAATCAATCCAAATCCACAAATACGTACAAACACAAATGTTAATTTTTTTGAATATAAAAAAGCTGTATATTTTTCAATGATCATATTTAATTTCCTAAAAAAGAAAAAAAAAAAAGTATCAAAAAGAAAGCTACTTTCTGATTATCCATACACCCACTAAAAAGTTGTGAATTCATTTGTGACTTTAGACTGCATTTGCATACTCCTTGTTAAGTAATTATTTGCCAAGCTAATGCATGAAAGGCAAGAACCATTTTTTAAATGGCACCGCACTAAGAATTCCACTAAAGAACAATCAATCAATAAAATTTTTAAAACACTGAACATCAGAAATAAAAATAATTAATGTTTTTGAAAAATCCTTCTGCACTTTTTTCATTCACACTTGTTTTCCCCATGTATTGCACAAACTTAGCAATGAGCATTAGCCAAGACTAAATAAAATGAATGTTAGTTGCACTGCTATCTCCAAATCAATTTCCAAACCTGCATTCTAATATTTTGCCTACAATTTGTCACATTGCATTTCCATAAAAGTTAGTTGTTTAAGAAATACAACTCACAGAATGCAAACGTTTACTTCCTCTACTGTTGGGCAAAATGCCATCATATTTTTGCAGAACTGCTTTCTTCTTCATTAGCCAGCAAACTCAACAATCTCCATTATGATAAGTTACAAGAAAACAACCAAATACCTAACGCAATTATAAATAGAAATATTGATAAAAAAATGGCAGTTGAGTTTCAAAATTACAAATTCACGTATACTTAAACAGATATATGCTACCCTGCATACCTGCATTACCACACAAATACTTTTTGATAACATCATAGAATTACTACATACTTATTTTGGTAACATACTGCATTGCCTGATGAAAACGTTTTTGTGACATTTCAGTGGGTGTCCAACTAATCAGAAACCACCAAAAGTCCCCCCCTTTTTTTAAGAGCAGATTCACAAGCATTTTTTTTCACCAGGAAAAGAATGATAATTTAGCAGCAGTTCCCATTTTTAAAAAAATTCTTTCATTAAAAGTATAAAGTAATATTTCTCTTCCGTGGGAAGAGAAATGTTAGATTAAATTCAAAAATCTTCAGATTAAATTCAAAATGTGAGAATTTTTTTAAAAATAAGATAAAATGCTTCAACTATGGATACAAAAACCTACCTTCAAAAGATAATCACAGAAATAGAATTTACTGATCTTAAAATGTGTAATAAAATAAAGAAAAGTTACACAAAATGTCTAAGTCTATTATAGCTACTTTAAGACTGTACATCCATAGCAATAATAAACATATTTAAAATAAAGTTTTATTCAGATTTTAAAACTTCTGAATTTTTATAAAGGGAAAAAATTGAATACACATACGTACTTTTTTCCAATCCTATATTTTTTAGGGCTCATGTCAGGTTTAAAATAGTCACTTTTAACCATGAAAGGGCTTCCTTTCTCAACTTTTTGTGGTGTTATTGTCATATCATCTTTAGAACGGTAGGAAACAGACATTCTTAATGTACCTACTGGAGTCAGAACCTCACCAATTTTACTTCCTTGATAATGTTCACCTAATTGATGTACCTGAAAGAACAGCAATTGAAAATATACACTGATTATTACCAAAATATCAGTACTTAGATTTGAGACACAAATAGACCCCACTCGAAAAAAAAGGGGGAGATTGCAGATGGAATTCAGCTTTAGGAAAGTTTGATATTAAAATCAAAATTTATTAACATTGCTTTATGCTATTCTGCAAGAAAATTATGAAAATTTTAGGCAGTATATACCCCCTGTCAACAGATGTTTTAACGAAGCACAAAATGCTGCAAATGCTCACATACATGAATGCTTGATGAAAATGTTGAAATTTCTTTCACATTATAGATCAGTAACATCAATCAAAATATTGAGTCTCATTACCCAAATACAAAGCCAAATACTATTTGCCCTCATCACTGGCAAAGTAATGACTGTTTCTTCTCTTTTCTATAAGTAATAGCATGCTGTTTAGCTAATAATATAATGACACTAATTTTTTCTGACATAATAGTTTCTCAGATGCCTCAGTAAAACTTAACCTGGAAATATTGATGTTACTTCTTTTACAATAAAGCACTAGATTGGAAAAAATATTTCATTTACTTTAGATGCAAAACTTAAGAAAATATTTATGGTACCTAATAATATTTCATGACTAATCAGGTTTTGTGTTTATGCAAGTTTTAAAATTTCTATAATAATAAGGCTGAAGTTACCAGCACTGTGGTTTAGTTGGTCATGGCAAAGCACTCAAGGGCTAGCTGCCTAAGGAGAGGTATGTCTTTATGTAGGACTTTCTAAGGGAAACTGGCTCATATCCACATTACAACAAAAACATCTATGCAGCCAGCCTGCTCACCGAGATTCGATACCCAGACTTAACTACCAGTGTTCAGTGACTTTAACACTCGGGTGCTGGTGGACTACCAACATTGTGATGATGTTTCATAAATCTGAAATACTTATTGCAAAAAAGGGAAGATCACAGAACATAACTGCACGCATTTTAGAGGGATATAATAACAAAGCATGAAAAATGTTGAAGAATATTAATCAGAGTGCTGTCTTAAAAGCAGAGATAAAAAATCAATTCTAGTTAAAAATTAAAAAATTTTTTTGGAATTAAAATCAGGAAAAACTCAAACCAAATTATTTTGAAAACTCATACTGAAATACTAGAAACTGGATAGAAATAAAAGCTTGCATAATAATCTAAATTTATATACACTATCAATTTAAAATGAATAATAAAACAAAATTAAGAAACTGCATTCCTGACATTCAAGTGAAAAACACAGCACACATCTAAGATGCAAAATAAAGAAGAAATGTAATTTTAAAATTAATTTTGCATTGTTTTCTGTACCTTCATTAACATTCAAGAAAAAAAATCATTTTACATTTTACTTTCACTAATGGTAGACCATTAAAGAAGTAATATGGAGGCATAAAATATTATGAGGCATTAAGGTAATTATTATTTAATTTGGTAATTATTAATGGCAGTTACTGTAATTATTATTTAATGGTTTAAATTCCTGAAAGATTAGAGTTGAGATTGATTCATTAAAATTTTACAGCTAATTCTTATGCTTCTAAAGCTGAAGAGATCATTCAACTAATATGTTTCATTCGAAATTGTTATGCTATTATTACTAACAGTAAGTCAAAACATTGTCATAAATAATAAAGTGAAATGGTTTATCTTTCATCATAAGTGATAACATATGTAAACTAATATCCATTGCCTGCATTCCTAATTAAAAAAGCATTTCTACAATATCCCTAAGGCAATTATTTTGTAAATTCTATTCTTTTAACCCCACCAAAAACTGGGATATCAAAAATGAACAAATATACATATATTTCATTCTCAGAGACTAAGACAAGGAGTTTCGACTTTTATTAAAGCAAGATAATGGAACATGTCAAAGCTAAGGATAATTTTGGCTTGAATCAATTATAAGATTTTAAAATTTATAATTATTTTATATAAGATATAATTTTATAATTACATATCACACCAAAGATTAGCAAGTGGCAAAAATCTAATTTTGAAACTGACTGCAAATGAAACATGGTGCATTCAAATGTGATCATCTTTTATTCTGAGCAGAATCCCTCAGTTCAATCATTTTTAATGTAATGGCTGCTTAAAACTATTTATTCAGCAGAAAGAGGCAGAAGGGAGATAAGAGATCATATGCATAAACACTTGGGTATTAAGTCTTAAAATTAAAATCATTAATTTAAATTAACATATTTCATTAAATGCAAAAGGTTTCAAAAACAAAAGAAAAAAATGTGAGGAAATTTATAGATACATGTCCGAACTTCTTAAGCCAGCATATGACTTTTTTTTCCCCCACACAAAAATAATACTAATGAGGTAAGTTCAGAATGAGGGGGAAATATCTGCAATACTCAATTTAAATGTAATGATAAAGTAAACCAGCACTGATGTTCAAGAAATTTACTCCACTTTTCTAAAACTGACACTAACTTCACTTTAATGGGCATATTTGAATAAATTTGCTCAATTGTCTTTCAGTGAAATATCATGCTAAAATCAGGGAAAAGTAATAAAATTTTTAATTTACATTAAAAAATCTACCAAAATATTTCATGATACTGATAATACTAGAAATACAATAAAGTAAATGAGAATATATAATGATGAGATTAATTAAAAATTAATGCAAGTGTATCAATAAATTTGTTTTCTAGTTAAAAGTGCTCACTCTATATCACAACTTGTTGTGAAAGATATCAGTAGCACTTTCTAAGTACAGCCTATTTTTTCAAGAATGAAATTTAGCAGGGAAAGAAAAAGTTTATGCACTTCCTTGGAAAGAAAATGCTGGCATGCTATCCAGTTTGTAAAAACTGAAAACTTTTGCTGTTCAATTAACCAAAATCATTTGAAGGGAACCTCAGTTTTTTTTTTTTTTTTTTTTTTTTTTTTTTTGCAAGTGCCATTGGGGGGGCAGCTTTAAAAAAAAAAAGACTTAAATATGTAAAATTTAAATTGAATGCCAGGTCTGATTAGTATGTGAGTCCACTGCAAAAGAGTAATGCCATTGCCCATAAAAGTAGCAATAGCAACTTTGTTTAATGATGAAGAAAGAACAGTAAAAGAAAAAAAACATATATTACTAAATAAATTCTGGTTTCAGATTTTAGAAGTTCTAAGACAAAATCTGTGTGTCCGAGAAAAGAATAGTAATTTAGAGAAATAAGGAATAAAAAAAATCATAAAGAAAAACTAGTTCTTAGAATTAAGATATTATACATGTTAATAAATATATCTGCTTCTTAATGGTTGTGTTTTAATATTTCACTTAAAATAAAAATGTAACATAGTGCAATTGCTGTGAAACTTTGATCAGTTCATTCAACTATGAAATTCTATAAAACTATGAAAATTGAAAATAAAAAATTAACTATGAAATTCTTGAAACCCGCTAGTACACTTAAGCCTAAATGGGAAAGTGGCTGGAAATTGGTGCAAGTTTCAAACAGTTGCTCACTGTATATATGAAAACACTGGGTAGTGGGGACAAAAAGAATCTGAAACTAAAGTTGCAATTCTACTTCATTCAGTAGGTGAAGATGTAGAACTTTTTAATACCTTCGGCTTTACAAACAGTAAAAGAAAGAATTCTGATAAAAGTTTAGTGGCATTTAAATAGTACACAACACCTAAAAGAAATGTTGTAGAGGAAAATTTGTATTAATACCCATATGCTAAAATCAAGTGGAAGTTTTGATATATTCTACACTGATTTAGGAAAAATGATAAAATCCTGTGACATTGGTGATCAAGCAGATAGTGTTGCAAGAGACAGGATTATAGAGGGTGATCGCCTACAAGACAGAATTTTAAGAGATTTTCTTCAGAAAGCACTGTAGGAATATGTAGACTAGCTGTATTAAGCAAAATTCAGGTCCAAACACTGAAATACAAAATTTTTGCTGCAGTACAAAAAAGATCTTCATCAAGAACACAAAAACTTTGGGTGCTATTAATAAGCATGCAGAATGCCAAGCTTACACAAAGCATTCCTACAAATGTAATTAGTAAATTTTTCTTCATACTGTGTAAATATCATGGTGTACAAAGGATGTCATGTAATGATAATGAAGATTAGAGACATTTACCTCACAACAACAGTCAAAGTGATTTTTTTATAAACTCTATGCATTATGAGAATGGATTGTTTTAATTTATTTTATTTTGGTTTATTTGATTACAGCAAAGCATTCGAGGGCTATCAGCTTAAGGAAAGGAATGCCTTTGTTTTTCTAAGGGAAACTGTCTCATATGCACATGACATGAGGAAAACCATGAAAAGTCCATGCAGCCAGCCTGTTCACCAGATTTGAACTTTGGACCAAACTACGAGTGTTCAGTAACTTTACTGCTTGGCTGCTATTCTTTGAGACTGAAAAAGAAGTTCCAAGAAATGAGTGGGAAAAAATTATTACTGATAAAAAATAAACTTTAAGCTTAGACATTTGTGCTCAGATTAATGTTCTAACATTGTATATTATATCAGCAAAGAGATAAAAACCTGAAATTTGAGAAAACAAACATAAGTTTAGAGGCTTTTGAAGGTACAAATTAAACCTCTTGACAAGATTAATTTAAATTGCTGTGTTTGTCACAAACAAGCAACTGTGAATTTTGTTATTGTAGGTAATAACAAATCATTGCCATTATTAGATTTAAGAGGGAGTCAAACTTAATCTTATTAAAAATATATTGATAAAGCATGTATAGCTACAAATAAACAAAAGCAGTTTCTACAGAATAATATGAAAATCTTTGAAGATGTAAGAAAATTTGATGGGACATGCAATATTAAAATAAAAGAAAAACTATTCGCCAACAGTTTGCTTACCTAAATACATGTATCAGTACCTAAATTTAAGAAGAAATTGAAAAAGTTGGAATAGGAAGAGAAACTGAACTGAAGGTGCTTAAGGGTGGGTTAATAATTTTGTGATAATGAAGAAGACAAATGGTTCCACAGGGCTTAGTTTATATACACAAGATCTTAACAAACAATCAAAGCGACCATGTCTTAATAGCTAAAATAGAGGAGCTTGTTCCTAAATGTGATAAAAACTAGCTTTGCAGTTCTTAACCTTAAATATGAATAATTTCAAATTGAACTGGATAAAAAGAGGGAATCAATTATTTGTGCCTATTTAACATTCAGATGTTAAAAAGTTTTGCAATGTCCAATAAAATTACAGTGTACACCTGAAATTTTTTAGAGAAACGGAAAAAATTTGGGGACATTCCAGGGTTTTTCAGTTTATTTTGATGACCTTCTTATAGTTAAGAAAACACACAGAACATGATAAGGTTAGATTATTTGAACATGGCAAAGCACATGAGGGACAACTCCTTAAGGGAAGTGATGCCTTCAAGGAGGATTTTCTGAGGGAAACTGACCTGTATTCACATTACACATGGGGATAGCCTTTTCACATGGGTTGAAACCTGGGTCGAACTAACACCATTCAGCAGATTTAACCACTCAGCCAATGAAGAAGGGTAGAACATTATCAAATTTTAGCTCAAGTAATTAAAAGAATTAGGACTGAATGCAAAATATTAGAGAAAAGAATTAGAACTGAATGTGAAATTCAGTCAGAATAACACTCAGCATTAAGCACAAGTAGCGAAATATTTAAGGTATGTGTTTGGTTCTACAGGATTGAAATCTGATCCAAATTACACCAAAGCTATTTCTGAAAGCCAGTACCAATTAATCAAACTGAACTACACAGTATATTGATTCATTATCTGAGGCACTTTATAATCACGTCAAAAGCACCAATTCTGGATGCTTTCAATGGACTACTGTAATACATGCAGATAATTCCAAAGATGGCTTAGCAGATATTTGTTACAGGATGCGAGGCTAGTCAACATTTGCTTTTTAAGGCTTCTCTAAAGCAGAAACAGGTTATGTAAAAACTGAAAAAGAATATTTAAACATAGCTCTTTCTTAATTCCATTTATTATCATATAGTTGAAGTGCTAACTAATCATAAACATTTAGTACCCATAATGAGTAAAAAACAAAGTAATGTCACCTAGATTACGTGTGAATATAAAATTATGGAGTAATTTTAACCCCTTCGAGCCGGGTAGCGAAAACGCACGCTTATTGCGGAGGCCCGCAGTGTGTTCCGCGAGCGTCTCTCCAGGGCCGGGGGCTTTGCTACTAAGCCTAAATCCATGAAATTTCTGAAGTATCAACGCATTGTTTAATAATGCTCTATAGAGTATTTAAACGGCTTATGCTTTATAGATATTTTTATATATATACTTTAATTACCTTATTTCTTGTTTAAATGCATATTTTACACATTTTATTTTAATTACTCACCATTTTATGACTTTTAACATTATACATCTGAAAACTAAATATATTACTTAAAATTCTCTTTTCGTATGAAAAATTTTAAAACAGGGATCTACACGCAGTCCTACGTTACATTCCTTGAACTCGTAATAACTCATTTGCCGTTTTGGAGGATTTTTCCGGGAATGTGAACAAACGAAGCATCGTCGTCTCATTTTCTTATCAGTCTCATCTGAACAAAGTTTGGGAAAATGTCTTTCAGTTAATCTTTCAGAATCAATATCAGAATTTCAGAATCAATATCTGAAATATTTTGTATCATTTCTGCTATTTCATGCTCTGTTAAACATTTTCGACGCTTCGACATTGAAACAGTAAAAACAGAGCTAATTATTTTCTAAAAACTGAACTGTAAACCGAAATACTCAACACTTTAGCGCATATAAAACTTCTACTTACAATAAACACTACCACGTGCGAATAAAGTGCGATTTAAAGAGACGTCATAAATCACGCCATTCGGAAACATTTAGTTCCCCGTTTGTTTATATAATCAAAAACACGTGTATGTGAGTCATGCTTCTCTCATTTCGAGTAGAAGGTCTAATGTACATGTATCTGAAAACATATGGACATACAGTGCCATCTTGTGGCAGAAATTATAGTTTGAAAAACGTTCCAAGGTACTAGCACAAATACGTGACAGCCGGTAGTAAACGCAAATAATGCCTGCGTGTCGGCAGGTAGATAAGTGTGTTCGTTGCTGGCACGTATATGTGACAGTCGGCGCGAAGGGGTTAAAATATCTGGCAAAAATGCAAAGGCAGGTAGACGTGATCAATATCGGCATATTATGTAATGGAATATCTGTGCACAAAAATAAATGGGAGAAGGTTGGTAGGTTCAATTTTGTTGAGATTGGTAGGTAAAAGTGCTTCGCTGGCATAAATCATCACTCCTCATGACTTAATGATTATGAGCAGTAAGTATCTCTTATGATTATGAGCAGTAAGTATCTCTGTATATAAACAGAAATCTGCTGACATGCATTCCATCCATGGCTCTGCAGATGGAGATGAAATAATTTCTCAAAGGATGTACAGAAGACATTACCAAGTACACAACTACCAAATCTACATGCTTTTTAAGTGCATGAACTGGGAGTTGTACAACAGTGGATCATTTCATGTTTGCAGATGTGATTTGGACAAGGGATATCACAGAAACTGCAATATGTACATTTGAGGATAATTTTAGTACCAGCACAAGAATCATTAAATACGCATTGGGTGTCGATCAGCAAACTGTTTCAAATAATTTAAATGAAGAAGAAATGCATCTGTATCATTTTCAGAGACTGCAAGCATTAAAACTGGATGATTATTCACTGTGTGTTAATTAACAGGTTCAGTCAGAATTCTTCAGTAGGCAACAGCAAACCCTGACTTTCTATTCTACATTTTATTCATTGATTAAGCACTGTTGTTGATGATGATGCACTGGGTGTTTTTAACACCAATTTTCACCTTTGGGTTCAAGATAATTCACGATGCAAGATCACATGTCTACAAGGAAAGATTCATGATTAAAGTTTGTGCTTGCATCGTACACAAATACTCACTAGGATTGTATAGTCTACTCTGTTGCTTGAATAGCCACACATACATCTTTCTACAAGATATCTTGCTGCAAAATTCGTTTTGATGTTTCTCTGGCTGCTCGCATGATAATCTAGTTCCAACACTAGCTTATGCCAGTAGTATGTAACATCAAAAACTAATTTGATACTACTTATGGCAATCTACTGGATCAGAAAAAATGCACCTGGAATACACCAAAAAGAATGCATAAGAAAATGGAGATGCTGCTTGTTAAAACTGAAGAACTATTATGCGTACTGTTGCCACAGTTTGACGCATTCTGAAAATTTCATGATTTCTAAATGTGCTAATATATAAAGTAGTATATATATATATCGTTTTCCACAAACTTGCATATGAATGTGAGCAGATAGCAACCAAAATTAAAACATATTGGTATTTCTATATAATACATATAATGAATGTAACATAAGTATATAAAATCAATGAGAATTAAGATTCTACATACAGCTTTTTATTTATAATTTATTCATAATTTCAGAACTTAGGAAATATGCTGAAATTATAGAACATTGCAAAACGGTAGGCATTGCTAAATATTGTTAGTTTGCATATTTTTTTAATTGCTGATCTACAGTGCTGAAGCAATAAATGCTTTTCTAGATCAGCAGATTCATATATATTCAAATTATTCAGTAACAACTCCCTAATAAATAAGAAAAGAAAATCAAGGTTGAAAGATCTACCTTTTAAGAAATATTAAGAAATAAAACACTCTCTAAAAAGATGAATAAAAAAAAATTGCCTGGATTCTTTTTTAAGTTGAATCATTGGATTTTTTAAAAATACATCCAATAATAAGGAATAAAGCACAATCATTGAGTTCATTTAAATTTTCTAGTTTCTGGTCCAAAGAAGATAAATAAAAAAATCTTGAAAATTTAAAGGCTGCTATCCCAAGATATGTCATTTTTTGTCTTTGGTGAAATTCCTTGTTAATAAATAATAAAACATAATTATGAATGAAAAATTGGATCTCAATTTAGAACTCTTAAAGACTACTTTTTGGAGGTAACTCTGTCATTACAAATTCATTATTTTTTTTAATATTAAGAAATTATATTTTAATATTAAAAACTGTCCTAATTACTTATGCTAATGCTTTATGATTAACAAAAATTTCTGAGGATAACTTTCATGTTGCTCTTTTCACGGAATGCTTTTTAAGACATATTAAGGAATTAATACTTAAGAATTCAGAAATCTTGGAAAAAAGAAGAAAAATGAATTATTAATGTCAATAGTAAAAAGATACTACAACCAAACATAGTAATTTAGTGGGAAAATCACAGGCAGGAGCAAAAGAATAAGTAGGGAAAAAAGGGAAGTAAGTATATAAGTAGAAAAAATAACATTATTTTTATCAATTTTTATATTAAAACCAAGTTACTAGTAAATTGTACAAAATTTAATTTACTTTAAAATAGGAATTTTTAAAACATCTTCCCTTTCTTTAAAAAACTTCTATTTCATTCTAGCTTAAGAAAGATACACTACACTGTACTACGCAACATTTATCAATCATTTAGAGTTAAGTCACTTTTAAACTTACTTGGGGTTCACCTGAATATATCCGAAATAATATTACATATGTATCTGCACTTTGTCGAGAAGACAGCCTATATGCAGGAGTAACTCGAGTTACAGCTATGACAGACTTCAAAAGTAAGGTCATCCTACAATACACAGATGCTAAACTAGTGTATGATACATAAGGAGAGTCACAGAAGAAGTCTGAAGTATTCATTCGCAGGCTCCATGTTTCAAGTACCAATGTATCTCCATCAGCAGTTTTAAGCAAAATTTCAGTACATATACAAAAGTCTTTCAAAGGAAGAATGTTGCTATATGCTTCTTTAGCTTTAGCTTGAATTTCAATATTGTCTTCTATGGCCAAGTTAAACTATAACAAATGAAAATATCAATTAAAAAATTATACACACACACCATCTGAACAAAACAAACTAAGCAATAATAACATAGCAACTCCATAAAAAGAAATCATTTTGAAACAGGAAAGCTGTAAGAAAATATTTAACAAAAATTTAACAATTTTACAGATCTAGAATTTCAAGTCTTTTCACAGCATGATCTGCATGATTGTGTAAACCCTATAAAGAATTATATATAGATTACTGCATGATTTACTTTTCAAACATTTGTACAAAAGCAAGAAAATTATAAATTAGAACTGTCATTTATATACTAAAACTTCAACACAGCAATCTACTTTAACACAAATACTATAAATCATCAACTTTTCTAGAATGTTAGAAATAATAGCAAAGATGCAAAATTCATATTTTGGAAGAATGAAAGAAACTGCTTTTTCTAATAATAAACACTGAATCAAATCTTCAACTGCACAGGTCTGAGGAGAAATTTACATGTGCGAAACACAAATCTATACATGATGTAAACAGCTCAAAACAAATTTGGCACCAATACAGTAGTCCCTCAAATCAAGTAAATAATGAATTCTATTTATCTTTACATAACCAGAGTTTTATATAATTCAAATTTGTAAATTGCCTAAGTGTAACTTCATATGCCATCCTCTTTATTTTTACTCCCAGCATTAACAATTTTTTTTTCCTAGTTATAGTTGATAATTTTTTTAATAATTAAAGTACACTTAAGTGAATGAAAAATTTTGATAAATGTCTCACTGATGTGTGTCATTATATATGTTACTTTTTGTTCCTATTTAGTCCTGTTAAAATGAATGTGACACCTTAAGCTTTTTGATGTCATAAGACACATGCTGTATAATTATACTAAAATGCTTATCACATTATTCAGTATACTTTATTTTTATACTTGGATTACAAAAATCTCTGTTTTCTAACTGTCAAAGAAGCAAACTAGTTAATTATTTTATGAAAGTAAATTTTGGGGTGCTTGATTATTCTCAATTGAGAATATGGTATTATGCGCATGCGTAAACACATAGTGCATATTACCTTTACGCATGCGCATAAAACGTTTATGCATGCGTGTTTAATGTATAACGAACAGTATAACTTAAACTAAAATTATCTATTTCAGTTAATGTTGCAGATTGCATTGTTCCTTAATCTTCTAATTGGATCCGGCTTATTATTTTTTGCAGACTGCTAGAGCAATTTTATAAAAAGTAAGCTTGAACTTTCGATTATGTCAAAAAGAGTTTCCGATTATTCTGGAGCTGCCAAAGCATCTACAAAGCAAAAGCATGTTTCGATGCACCGCTTGCGATAGTGAAGAAAGTGACAGAGAGGTTATTGAAAATGAAAAAATTTCGATTGACAAATTAGTCGGTATTCTCGACATAGCAATTATAAAACTTGAACAGCGGAACTTTGTAACTGAACAAGAAATTATGTCTGTTTATAGAATTAAAGAGAAAGTACACTGATTATCATAAATTAAGGGATAATCACAAAAATAGCGATAACTCCCTAAAAAATGAGCCAAACCGCGTAAAATTCAAACATGTTGCCAAGGATGTCATCTCTATAAATCTGAGCATTCACGGTTCCCTATGGAAAGACATGGATGTCTGTGCATCCACCTAAAAAGATGCCACCCCAAACACAGACACTGCCCCTTCCGTATGCTGAGTAAAACTGCGAAATGCGAATTAGTGGCGCTGCTTTCGGAATACGTCATCTGTGAGGAGCATAAAAGTCCATGTTTGAGAGCAAGTCCACATATATCACTTTGTGTGACATCAGAAATCTGAGATAGCCAATTTCTAACAATGACCTCCAGGCATTCATTTGCCTGCAGAACTGCGATGGAGAGGCATTGGGAGACTAGAGGCATGACAAAGTCAAACAGAAGTGGCCAGATGGCTAAATGTGAGTCCTTCTGTGGTTCATAGACTTTGGAGGCAATTTCAAACCACAGATTTGGCATCTAGGAGGTTCAGCCAAGGACAATAAACTGCTACGACGAGCGCCAATGACCAATATTTGACATTATGTGCACGCAGGAATAGAACCGCTATTCCGACTCTTCTTAGATCCTCCCTTGCTGCAGCTACCGGAAGATTCGTGTCAACGTCAACTGTGCATAGAAGGCTTCACGAAGGTGATCTGTATGCAAGGTGACCGACAAGCCATTTGTGTGCCGCTCACGTCACGCCATAGGAGGGACCATTTTCAATGGGCACGACAACATGTCTACTGGACGCCTGATCAATGGAGGGCAGTTCTCTTTACGAATGTGTCCAGGTTTAGTCTAGAAAGCGAGAGTACACGTTATTTGATATGGAGTGATATGGAGAGAACCTAGAACCCGTTATCATCCGTCAAACATCCGTGAAAGAGATGCATACGGAAGAAGCAATGTCTGTGTTTGGGGTGGCATCTCTTTAGGTGGACGCACAGACCTCCATGTCTTTCCAAGGGGAACCGTGAATGCTCAGATTTATAGAGATGACGTCCTTGATGTTTATGGGTGCCCATATGCCGGGGCAATAGGTGATGCTTTCCTGTTACAGGACGACAACGCAAAACCACACAGGGCTCGCATCGTAGATGAGTATCTTTAACAGGAAATAATTATGCGCATGGAGTGGCCAGCTCGATCCTCGGACTTGAATCCTATCGAGCACGTTTGGGATGCTTTAGGGAGACGTCTAGCTGCTCTCAATTCGCCCCCTCAGACCCCTGTCGCGCTTGCAACTGCTTTGCGAGAGCAATGGCTCTCGCTTCCTACGGAACTGATAAACCGCATAACTGAAAGCATCACACATCGCTGTATGTGCTGTACTGCTTCTAGAGGTGATCATATTCCATATTGAAGGTAGTTTTCCTATAGCAAACTGACACCTTCGATTTGTTCATTTTATACATGTGCTAATTTCTATACTACCATATTTGTCTGGTAATTTCTTTTTACGTATGTTATTTGATACCTTACTATGTGTTCTATATTGTGGGTAAGTTTCATTAAATTCTACATGTAACTTTTTCAGTAATCGTGATTTTTCCTTAATTTATGACAACCAGTGTATTAGCACATAAAACAAAGCAACTTAAATGACTTAAATTGAAAGAAATGTTTAATAAACAAATAAATATTAAGCTTTTTTTTCTTGGTAAATTTTGATACCCTTTAGATCATAATTGCTCTTTATTTCATAAATTACGGTTTCATATTTTTAATTTTATAATTTCTGCATGCCATCTTACCAGATTTAAACTGATGATCTCTAATCCGGAAAAACCGATAATCCGGAATCGCCGAAGTCCCGACAAGTTCGGATTAAAAACTTTTGACTGTGTATTTTTTTCCTCCTCACTTGGTGGTAATGACAGCCCTGAAGTGACTAAACTAACCATGCAAATATTATTGAAATGCAAGAAGCATATGCCAAGGAAAAGCGGAGTTATTTAAGAAAGTTCTTATTTCTAATTGGTAGGTTTCAGTTGATATGGCTTTTGCCGAGTTAGGCAACTGTGAATTCATGTAAGTTGCGTATATTATAGTCAGGGATAATTGGACGTTAAAATATGGTACTTAAGTGTTATTACAACTACCTTAGCAGAAGACATCACATTCAAAACATGCTAAACCTAGACAACCATGTGCATAACCATCATTCAAACAATCATGCTCATGACAATTGTTCTGACAAGCAACATCACCATTTTTGTATGCTTTCTTTCCATTGCATTTCAACATTTCTGATAGAAAAATCATATTTTTATTTTCTTTTACCTTAAAAGTCAGTTCAAAATATGCAATTGTAAAATCTGTCAACAAAGGAAAAAATTTCAGTCAAATATATGCAGGAATAGTGTATTTTTCTGTAAAATCACTAAACAACAATGAGACGCACTGGTAGATGGCTGTTGTGCAATGCCGATTTTGTGCAATTCTCTGAATATTTTTTAAGCAAAAACAGATCACTGTGTACATGGGAAGAAACATAACATATATACACACACCAAGGAAAAAATAAATAAATAAATAAAAAATAAAAAAGGTTTTTGTGAAATATGTAGCCATCTATTTTTTAATGTATTACATATTCCTGATTTAATAATTTAAATTGCTAAAATGTGTTTTCTTTCCGTATGTTAATAATGCTTGCTCACTTATGATACATATCGATAGTTTAGAAATCTTATTAAAAAACAGAAGTAAAAATTGCCTACTTAACAAGTAAATTCTTCCTTTTCATCTGTAAAATATTAGCAAATAGTGCCAAGGTGATTACATTAATACATAAGTACTTGAAATATTATTTTTGGGGTTAATACAAAAATGTCATGACATACAATGGCAATACATTTTGGCTTAAGCGTTTGGCTTAAGCGGAGCTCCAGCTACATTCCAAAAAGTCATGGATATTAAGACCCATCTTTGGCAAAAGTACTTAGATGATATATAATTGTTACAAGCGAAACCGTAGATGAAATTTTAAACATCTTGAGGAAGTTTTCTCGTTATTAAATAAAGCCGGCCTCAAGGTGAATCCTAACAAATGCAAGTTTGCAGCAAAGGGCTTAGATATCTCGGGTATAATATCTAAAAAAAAAAAAAAAAGGAATTGAAGCCGATAATTCTAAAATCTTAGCAATCAAGTTATTCACCTCCTAATGCAGGCAAAATACTAGCATCCTTTTTGGGCATGTGCTCATATTATAGAGTATCCATCAAGGAGTTTGGGAAAATAGTTGAACACTTGCTGGTTCTCAAATGTAAAAAAACTAGACTCATGTAGACCGCAAAGGCGAACACAGTGTTCAAATAATTAAAGCATGCATTCATTAACACCACAGTTCTCAAGTTCCTGGAAGGGAACCAGAATTTATAAATCGCAGCAGACGCCTCGGATTTCTCAGTTAGTGCCGTCCTCTGCCAAAATGGGCAGCCAATTGACTTTTTTAGTAAAACTAAACCAAACTC